GCCATGGCACCGGCATAGATCTTGGCCTCACAGCTGGACTGGGCAACAGACGAGGAGCGGGTAGCTCTCCACGAGACGGCACCTGAACCAAGGCTGAAGCAGTAGCCCTGTGAGGACCTGCGGGTCTCGGCGTCGTCTGCCCAAGAAGCGTCTGTGTGTCGAGTGAGGACCACTGGCCTACGTCCTCCTAGCACTAACCCGATGCCCGATGTACTTGCAAGATAACGCAAAACCCTCTTAGCGGCAGACCAGTGCTGAGGTCGGTGTCTGCCTGTAGCCACAAAGCGAGCCAGGATGCAGAGAGGGTATGCGAGATCTGGGCGCATGCAAGTCATCAGGTACATGAGGCAACCCACCAACTCTGCGTAAGGACCACTGGGCTCTGCTGACTCCTCAGGAACTGGAGCGGAGAGTCTGTGGTCTAGAGGCAGAGGAGTAGGCTGTGCGGAGGAGAACTGAAGGCCGAACCTCTGAAGGACCTGGCGCACCAAGTGTGACTGAGTCAAAGTGATGGTGCGGGCTGCTCTGTCCCTGGAGATCTGCAAGCCAAGGTAGTGGCACAGTTCTCCAAGGTCAGTGCAGGTGTATCTCTTCAGCAGCTCTGCCATCACGGAGGCCAGTGCGTCCCTGTCTGCCGTGGTGAAGACCAGGTCGTCTACGTAAACAAAGATGTAGAATGGAGTCTGGCCAGCACGAACGAAGACCGAGGGGTCTGCAGAGGACGGAAAGAACTGCAGGTCAGCAAGCGTAGCACGCAGCGTGTCGTGCCACTCATGGAGAGCCTATCGCAGGCCGTAGACGGGGCACTGGAGGAGCCACTGGGTCCCAGGAGGGAAGGTACCAGTGAAGCCCTGAGGGCGACGCAGGTAGACCTGCTCGTGTAGACTGCCCTGATGAAACGCAGTGAAGAAGTCGAGGGAGTGAAGCTCGTAGTCACGCTACACTGCTACGTGTAGTAGCACCCGAAGAGTAGTCATCTTCAGGGTCAGAGCGAAGGTCTGGAAGAAGTCCACCCCCTCACGCTGACTGAAAACTCTAGCCACGTAGCGCGCCTTGAACACAGGCGGCTCTCCAGGAGGGCGCTTCACCTTGAAGAGCCAGCGGCCATCAACTACGTTCACCCCAGGTGGGGGAACTGCATCGATGTAGGTGCCGATGGATCTTCAATATGCCATCTCCTGCTCCATGGCAGCTATCCACTGAGAGGCCCAGGGTCCCGAGACCGCCTCAGCGTAAGTGCGAGGGGTCGGGATGTCGAAAGCGTCTGGGTCACCCTCAGGGACTAGAAGCATGGAACAGAGATGGGGAGCAGCCTCAGACTGGAAAGCAAGCTCGTACTGGCGGTCCTCCAGGACGTCACTGCCAAGGGCATGAGCACCCCCGACAGACGGAGGACAGGCAGCGTCAGAGACCGGAGCGGTGGCATAGTCAAGGCGGCGGCTAGAGGCGAAGTCAGCGACCGCAGCGACAAGGGCGTCAAGGCTCGAAACCGGAACAGTCGAGTCGGTAACGAGAGAGGCAAGGACCCGAGGAACAAGAGGTGGAGCGGCACGCAGGTAGTCAGACAGAAGGGGGGGAGCAACGACAAGGGAGGACGGAGGGGGCGACGGGAGAAGGGGAGGACGAGACGCATGGGAACAAAGCAACATAGGGTGAGAGCATGAGACAGGGGAGACCGGTCGAGCACGGGAGGGACGGCGAGACCGGACGTGAGACGGGGGAGTCGGGTCAGGAGATAGAGGAGGGGACACAGTAGGGGAACGAGGGGGGAAACGGGCCGGAGACGCGTCTGGAGGTGGGAACACAGGGCCGGAGACAGAAGGAGGAGGAGGCACGGGCACGGGGTCAGGGGACGGAAGGCCGAGCTGGCGAAGAGCGGACACCGGAGGCGAAGTAGCGACGGAAGCACCAAGGCTAAACACAGCAGGGGATCCTACGCCTGACGCAGCAGGGGAGTCTATGGAAGGCACACCTACACTAGGCAACAAGGGGTAATAAGACGGAAGCACACTAGAGTCATCAGCATACATTACATGCAGAGCAGCAACAATCTCGTCCATGTCTGGATAAAAAATCTGAACCCTACGACTAAGCAAGTTGTGCCAATCTGGGAGCTCGGGTGACGGGCTGAAATGCTGACGAAACAGGTCGTCTAGGTGACGGAAACAGCGGATGGAGGTATGACCGATCTTACCGCAAGCGAAGCCAGGGCGAGGACCGGTCTGGAGCAGGTACTAACAGCGCGTGGCACCCGAACCACCACGCGGCAGCCCACCACGCGCACCACCACCACGTCCAGCGCTGCCACCAGCGCCGGGCCACCCAGGCGGAAGAAGACTCGTCCGCCTCTGCTCCTGCTGCGACTGCTGCAGCTGCAACGACGGCTGCAGCTGTGGCGGCTGCGGCTGGCGCGGGTCCGGCGGCAACACCGGCGACTGCTGAGACGGCTGCTCGGCTGCACCTGTCAGGGTCCCCGCGTCAGCACCACCACTAGGTGACCCAACTCCAGCACCACCTACACCCGCACCCCCACCTCCGTCGCCACGTCCAGCCTTGGGGCGGCGACCCTTCCCCGGACGAACCTGTGCGGCAGCGGCAGTCTCAGCCACAGCAGCAGAAGCGTCGGAGAAGGTGCACTGAGCGGGGGCACAACCCTGAAAGATAGGGACCGGCACAGTACCGCTGGTCTGAGCGATAGAGCAGTGGCGGGCCTCTATATCGGACAGGGTGTCAACAAAGTCAGTGAGGGTAAGGTCTGCTGGGTGGACGCTAAGTAAGCGATCACGGGCAGTGGCAAGACGGTCAGGGAGGCGGGTGGCTAGGAGGTAGAGAGTAGAGGTGAGGGGCGGCTGGTGGGCTAGAAGCTGTGTGGGGGTGCAGGCAGCACGCTAGGTCTCGTCTATGGTGCGCAGGTGAGCGGCCAGGTCGACGACAGTGGGGAACGACGCAAGGTCAGGAAAGAGCATGGGGAGGATAAGACGACCGACCGAGGCAGCAGGCGAGGTGGAATAGCGCTGGACAACAGCATCTGGGAAAGCCTGGGCAGTGGTGATAGACCTGAAGCGAGGTCGCTCGGACAGGGGGAGGGCATTGCTAATAGCAAGCTGTGCAACAGCGTCACGGGACAGCCAGACAGAGCGTGCAAGGGCAGCGGCTGCAGCGGACTCACGCTCAGCGGATGAGGGGTCAGGAGACAGTGCAGCGGAGGGGTCAGGGCAGGGGAGGGTACCGTCAAGATGGACAGACAGCGAGTGACCATCCTGCCGCTGACCAGTGAGATGGCGACGGAGGTCAGCAAGCCACGCATCAAACTCAATCGGCTGGCCCTCAGCGTCAAAGCAAAGCACTGCCGCCATGAGGGACAATAGAGGCCAGTATAGAGTAGGACAGTGCGGTGCAGTGCTGTGTAGTGCGGTGCAGTGCGGTACAGTGCGGTGCAGTGCGGAACAAAGTGGTGCAGTGCAGTACAGTACGGTACAGTGCGATGCAATGTGGTGCAGTGCGGTACAAAGCGGTGCAGTGCGTTGCAAAGTGTTGCAGTACGGTACCGGGGGGGGTTCGGAGGGCGGTGCTGATCGGGAAGAACGGGCCGAACACGAGGCAGCGGTGGGCCGGCGACGGCGCGAATGCAGGGGCCGGCCGGCGGGCGGCAAGTAGACACGGCCGCGACGGCAGCCACGAACAGCCGCAATGGCGGCCAGGGACAGCCGCGACGACAGCCAGGGGCAGCCGCGACGACGGCCAGGGACAGCCGCGACGGCGGCCAGGGACAGCCGCGACGGCGGCGAGGGGCGGCTGCGACGGCAGGAGCGACCGTGAGGCGGCTGGAGATGGCAGCGGCGGCGGCTAGGGGCAGCCACGACGGCGAGGGGCGGCCGGGACAACTAAGGGCGGCCGAGGGACGGCAGGAAGCGGCCGCGACGGCGGCTAGAAGCAGCCGCGATGGCTAGGGGCGGGCTCAAACGGCCAGGGGGCCTGCGAGGAACGGGCGCAAAACGGCCAGGGCACCGACTAGGAGGGGCTCGACGGCCAGGGGGCCGGCTAGGGACGGGTGCGAACGGCCAGGGGGGCGGCTACGGACGGGCGCGAACGGCCAGGGGGCCGGCTAGGGGCGAGCGCGACGGTCAGGGGGGCCGGCTAGGAGCGATCGCGACGGCCATGGGGCCGGCTAGGGGCGAGCGCGAAGGTCAGGGGGGCCGGCTAGGAGCGATCGCGACGGGCAGGGGGCCGGCTAGGAGCGGGCGCGACGACCAGGGGGGCAGCTAGAGACGGGCGCGACGGCTAGGGGGCCGGCTAAGGGCGAGCGCGACAGCCAGGGGGCCAGCTAGGGGCGGGCGCGAACGGTCAGGTGTCGGCTAGGGACGGGCGCGACGGTCAGGGGGCCGGCTAGGAGCGATCGCGACGGACAGGGGGCCGGCTAGGAGCGGGCGCGACGGCCAGGGAGCCAGCTAGAGACGGGCGCGACGGCCAGGGGGCCGGTTAGGGACGAGCGCGACGGCCAGGGGCCGGCTAGGGACAGGCGCAAATGATCAGGGGGCCGGCTAGGGACGAGCGCGAACGGCCAGGGGGGCGGCTAGGGACAAGCGCGAACGGCCAGGGGGCCGGCTAGGGACGAGCGCGACGGCCAGGGGGGCCGGCTAGGAACGTAGGGGCGGAAGCGTGAGCGGGCTAGGGGGGGATCTAACCTACTATGATACCATATCAGAAAGAAAATGATTGAACTAGAATGTGTGTGTTCAATGATATATAGACTAGGGTGTTGTACCCTCTTAGGCAAAATCCAGTATAGTCTACAGTAACAACATAAATTATATTTGACAGTATCATTACAGTGGTTGCAGTGCATTTTAATGATGCTTTAGGCCATTGACTTCACAGTCTCAGAGTAGAAAAGTTGACTAGAATTGGACATACAGGTTGATTTTGTGAAAGTGTTGTACTCTCTAAGAGCATGCACATGTCTAGCCTAAAATAACTTATACAAATATGTTTGACACACAGCACGAACACGTTGCTCTTTTTTCGCAGAAGCTCAACTCAGGACTCAGGACTAAGGTGCAACTACCCTTGTTCCGGAAAGGAGCACTATAAGAAAAGCAAAACATGCCTCACAGCTTCAGAAACAAACATAGCTTCAGAAACAAGCAAGAAACCTTAAGAGCACAACACAAACGAAAAGACAATGTATTATTCGGATCATTCCCAGAATCCGTGGGGAGAGTTGAGGTCCCCAAGGCCCTCCATTCCAGAAAAAACAGGCTCGGCATCTCCATGCTCTCCGAACCTGACCAGCAGGTTCGGTGGCTTACTGGGCAGCTCTGGAAATAGGTCGGGGGCTCTTAGGGTATCAAGCTTGGTAAAGTTAGGCGAATCTTGCGCCCAGCTGCTTTTACCTTGTTCTTGCGGGTTATAGGTGTCAGCCACGGGAGCCACAGCCGCCACAGCGGGCCTGGCCATTTCGGGGTTTTGGGTTCCTCTGCAGCCGTCACTCCGGTTATGCTCCTCAGTGTCAACAGCAGCAGCAGCGGCACTAGCATCGGCAATAGCAGATGGTGCGGCAGTGAAACCGGGGGCAGGGGCACTTAGTGACAGAACTAGCCCCCGGTTGTCTTGAGGAGTGCCTGCTGCTCCAAACTCAGGATGGTGTTGGGAAGGAGAGGTGGTTGGGGAGGTACCAAGAGGGCTTGCTAGCGCTCCTGCTGCTGCTGTGGCCCCACCTGCTGCTGCTTCTGTGGCTCCCGCTGCTGATGCTTCTGCTTGCGGTCCTGCCACCAGCCCGTCGCGACGTCTCTTCTGCCTCTTAGCTAAGTGCAAGGAGTCCGTGGGTGAGAGAGTAGAGTAGTTGTGGTGGGAGAAGGCGGGAGGGGAGATGGAGGAGAGAGTGGGGGAGGAACCCGGCGAGATAGAGGTCTGTAGGGATTCAAACACTAAGAAAGTAGCAGGTGTGGCGGCAGCGGCAGCAGTGCAATTAGGCTCGCTTTGTAGTGCTGGTGCCGATGGTGGGATTGGCAGTGCCACCACTGCCCCTGCTCCTGCTTCTGCAGCTGCTGCTCCCGCTGATCCTCCTACTGCTGCTGCTGCTCCTGCTTCTGCTGCTGCTGCTGCTTCTGCGTCAGCATGCTGTGAAGGCTGGTGATCCTGCTGCTGCCGCTGCTGCTGCTGCAAGAGTGTGGTGCTTCCAGAAGCTTTAAGCCAACCATTGCCATCCAGAGCACCAGCCATACTCCCATAACCGCCAGCACCACCATCAGCATCATCAGCATCACCAGCAGGAGCACGCCTTTCGGTGCTACCCACCTCCTCCTTCTCCTTGCCGCTCCTTGTCTCCCCTGCACTCGATTCGTGGTTGCTGTTCTGGAAGCTCTTGGCACTACCCTCCTCCTCCTCGTTTTCCTTCTCTGCTGCTTCTTTCCCATTCCCTGCAGCCACAGCAGCGGCGGCAGCAGCAGCAGCAGCAGCTGCGGTGCCAGGGGAAGCAGCAGCCGTGGCAGAGGGAGCATCTTCCACTGCAATAGTAGCACACTCACCATGCTCCTTATGAGCGCCATAGCCACCACTCATCATTGTTCCTGATGCTTCTTCTGACCCGTTCTCTAACTTAACCTTATGTTCACCCGCTTTCTCCACCTTATATTTTCTTCCCAGTCCTGCAGCTGCTGCCCTCTTTTCTCCCTCTCCCGCAGAAACACCTGCCCGAGTCCCACCTGGCCGATTTCCACCTGCCCGAATCCCAACTGCCCGAGTGCCACCTGCCCCAGAACCACCTGGAAGGTGGCCAGAGCTCAAGGAGCGATGCTTTGTTGCCAGCCTGGATGCCACGTCAGACAGCTGAAGGCGGGGGAAGGACGAGAGGGTGAGAAAAAGAGGGAGAAGGGAGGTGTGGGTTTAGAAGCGGATTTGAAGGCTAGAGGGATAAAGGGAGGGACCAAGTGGGTAAAGTGAGGTGGAAGGGAGAGGTTCGAATGGAGAGGTGGGAAGGGAGCGGTGGGAAGGAAGAGGTGAATTTACAGAGTGAGACTCCTAGGCCATGTGGATTGCGCTTGCTGACCCATAAATTTCGGTCGTGCCTCACCTTGCTGGTCAGCTCTTCCTTCTTATCCAGGAGTGTGTGGTAGTCCGCCTTCAAGAGCTCATTTTCCGTGCTGGTTGCACTCGCTGACGCTTGCAGCAACATGGGAAGGCGAACCTTGGCCCACATCTCTTCTCACCTTGCTGGTCAGCTCTTCCTTCTTCTTCAGGAGTGTGTTTTTGAGTCAACTCAAAGGCAAACCTCCGTCATGACTCATGCCTCACCTTGCTGGTCAGCTCTTCCTTCTTATCCAGCAGTGTGTGGTAGTCCGCCTTCAAGAGCTCATAATCCGTGCTGATCGCACTCGCTGACGCTTGCAGACGAGAGAAGGCCGACCGGAGGGACTCCAGCTCCGCCTGCTGCTGCTGCACCCGGTGCTGCAGGGAGTGGTGGTGGAACCAAGAAGCCACCTGCAGGAGAGGACGAGAGAGAGAGAGGGGCAAGTGAGAGAAAGAGAAACAGGAGACGTGCTACTACAGGGGAAAAGGAAGAGAAAAGATGGATAGAAAAGAGAGAAATAAAGGAAATAGTAGGCTTTGCCTGCGAAAATTAACTAGAGAGACTCCAGCTCAGCCTGCTGCAGCTTAAGCTTACCTGCTGAGGCTGCAGCCCGAGGCTGTTGCCGAGCCTCGTCCTCCGCTCTGGAGTCAGGTTCGGGTCCTCGCCAAACCACGCCTCGAGCTGCTTGGCCTGGGAGTCAGACAGGCTCGACAGCCACAATCCATGTTCCACTTCGCTCATTATAGTGCCATCCTCCTCATTGTCACATTGTCCAGTCACCCCCTCATTGCCGCTCCCATTAGTCACACCGTGTGCAGCCACACCAAGTACTGTCACCCCTTGTACAATCACATCAGCGCCAGCGCTGTTAACCATCTGCATCTCTTGCGCCCCTTCAGCTGCTCCAGCCTTCTTCTCCTCCTCCTCCTGGTTCAGCACTCGCTGCGAGCCTTGGCCCGATCCGCATCCGAACCTGAACACCGAACCTCCCATTGCGTCCATCGCTCCTCCTGAACCTGCTCTCCCAAAGGCATCGGCTCCAAAACCCGAGCGTGTCTTGAATTGGAGCGAAAGCGTAGCACCATCAGCACCATGGGCAGCAGCAGCAGTAGCAGCAGCAGTACCAGCAGCGGCACCACTGCTGCCAGCACCATCCTTCGATAATGGAAAAAATGCAACGGGGGCAGCAGCAGCAGCAGCAGCAGCAGTATTTTCTGCTGTTTTTCCCTCAGCCTCCTCGCCCTGACCCCCGGTGCTTATCAGGTGTCTCCTCACCTTCCCCTCAGCGGAGTCACACTCCATCCCCATAGAAAACCCTCGCTCGTTACAATCACCACGCGAATAGTCACCTCCCTGCGAATAGTCACATCCATGCACCACCTGCTGCTGCTGCCCACCTTCTGACAGTGTACTAGCGCTTAAAGTCTCGCTATTAGCCCTCAACATTAACTCATCCATTCGAATTACACCTCCCCCCTCTCCTGCCCCTCCTGCCATTCCTCCTCCCATTCCTCCCCCCATCCCTCTCCCACATTGCTCCACCCCCTTTCCCGCACATAAGCCAAGCATGGACGGCGGGGGAGGGGGGGCGAGCGGAGGGGGGGGGGCGTGAGGCCCCTCTTTAGCCGTTGGAAAGGGGTTGCCACGAGAAAGATTCCGCGTGACAGCAGCAGCATCAGGAGGAGGGGCAGCAGGGGAGACAGCAGCTGCAGCAGCAGCACTGGTGGCAGCACCGGTGGCAGCACCGGTGGCAGCAGCGGGAGGAGGAGCCCCCACGAGAACAAATTTCTTGGTGACCGGGGCAGGTTTCGGGGCAGGAAAAAGGGCAGGGACAGAGGAGGGCGCGCGGGGGGAAGGTAGTCGGAGCAATGGGGGGCCTGGGGACGGGGGAGGGGGGATGGAAGGGAGGGAGACTCCAAAGGCAATATGGGAAGGGACAAAGGTTGAATGGGAAAAAAGAAAGCAAAGAAAGAAAACGAAAAAATAAAACACGGAAATTTGGATAAGGCGGAGGGCCTTACCATAGGTAAGTGCGTGCTTGCCAAGAAAGGAGTGCCCCTGCAGGTTCGGCAGATCTTTCTGGTTTGGTGAGGGCCCGGGTTGGTTGGGCAGGTTTCCCAACCCAGAGCTGCCCTGCTGCTGCTGCTGCTGCTGCTGCTGTTGCCTCCCCTTGTTCTTCTGCACTCCTTTGCCCGCCTGCCCCTTTGTCTGCCCGTTCCAGTTCCCGCCGCTTGCCCCTTGGCCCATTCCGCTGCAGAGCCCACCAGTCTTGGCCGGAACAAAATCTTGTCTGCCCATTCGAAAAGTTCCAAGGTCCGAAATCGACACGCTTTCGCCCCACATTTCTTCCGTTTTCGCACATTCCCCCCCGTCCGCGCCCGTTGCCGCAGCCCGCGCGGCACAATTTCCGCCCGCGCTTGCCTCTGCGCGGCTCTGCGGAGCCGCTGACGCGGAATCTGACGTGGCACGCGGCGTGCGCGTTTTGTCCTGCGCGCGGTTTCTCGGAGTCGTTGGAATTTCCGCCCCCTTTTCCGCCGCCCCCTCGTGTTGCGCCAACGATTCGGCGAAGAATTGTAACACAGAAGCCAGCGCTGCAGCCTGCGACGAGTCGCCGTTACCAATTTCGTCAGGAGTGCTATTCGCGGACGGCGAAAGTTCGAATTCCGCCGACGCATTCCCTCCGCGCGTAGCAATTCCGCCGTCGGCGCAAGATTGCGCTCCCCTCGCTGCTCTCGCCCCGCTTATTCCCCCCTCGCCTCCTGCCCGTTGTTTCCGCGGCCTTTGTTGACCGCCCTGCGGATTCAGCTGCTGCTGCGCGTTTCCGCTTCCCCTGTGCGGATTTCCACTTCCCCCGCGCTGCTGCTGCGCCAGCCGCGCGCCTTCCTCCACGATACTCTCCACGAAATCGCGGTACTTTTCCGCCGACCACCCGATCCCCGCGACCCCCGCGCCGGCTTCCGCAACCGGCGGAATTCCCCCCCTCGCTCCAGCGGAGAAATTCCCCGCGCCTCCCGCCAGGAGTCCCTGTGCGCGCAATCCGATCCCCGGAATTGTCTCCGCTTGAATCCCCTCGCGCGCGAACATTGCGCCCGTTCCCCCGCCTGCCATCTGTGCCGCCGTTCTCTACAATTCTTCTCTATTTTCCTTCCGTTATAAGCACGGATTTGAGTCCTCCTAGAAATCTAAGGGCGCTCAATCCCAATTGCTCGATCTTTCCTTTCTGCCTCCTTCTCCCCTTCCCCCACTCCGCGGAATATTTCCCGGCGGAAGTAACCCCCGCTACCTACGAGCGCACATTGCTAATCGCGGTCCCCAGGATTCCAAGCCCTTATGTCTCCCCGCGCTTTCTCCCCCCTTCCCCCTTGCCTCTGCGGGTTTTTTCCCGGCGGAAGTTTCTCCCCGTTATTTACGAGCGCACATTGCTAATCGCGATCCCCGGGATTCTGAGCCCTTGTGTCTCCCCGCGCCTTGTCCCCGCTTCCCCCTTGCCTCCTCTGCGGAATGTTTCCCGGCGGAAGTTTCCCCCGCTACCTACGAGCGCATGGCTAATTCCCAGCCCCTAGGGCTCTGCGCTTATGTCTCCGCGCAATTGTGTCTCCGCGCAATGGTGTTTCTGCCCGATTGTGTCTTCCCACAATTCTGTCTCCCCGCGATTGTGTCTCCGCAGGTCTAGAGCCCCGCGCGCCTAAGAATTCGCTTGTCTAGGGCCGCGGAATTCAGCGAACGTTATACCTAAGCGGGGATCGCGGCGAGGAGAACTGCATATATACTACGAAACAAATGCATATAGCGTTCTTTGACGTTCATACAGCGTTCTTTGACGTTCCGCGGCTCAGCGCCAGAGAATCGGCCGGTCAAGTCAAGAGACTAGTCACTTCAATCCGGGCTGTAATGCGAAGGGGAGTGATGCGATGTGTAACAGCGCGATGGGTGGGATGTCTCATGCAACACAAGTAGCGACGAGCGGCAGCTTTCCGCTGCAGGCCGGAGGAACGAGAGGGGGAGGGGGAGAGGTGAGGTTGCCCGAAGCAGAGGTGAGACTGAAGGGTGCTTCGTGACTCGTGAGTGCAGCGGTGCGGTGCGGAAGGGGGCTAGGGGGAGGAAGGAGGGGCAACTTCGATGGCGAGTCAGCGGATGCGTAGAAATGGTGTGACCGTAGCTCGCGTGGTGGGTTGGAGAGGTGAAGGGGGGCGTCGGGGGAGGGAGGGGGGGGTGGGCGGGAGAAGGAAGTTAGGGGGAACCGGAGGGAAGGCGGAGTGGGGGGCAGGGCGGGGTTTGAGGAAGGGGGGGGGGGAGGGAGGGAAAGGCGGAAACCCAACTGTCAAGAACTGCGGTGACCGTGGCCATTGGCGACTGTATGTACAGTACTGAACAGTGCTGAATTCAACCCACACACACCACACATAAATTCAAAATTGGGGTTTTTAGGTTAGCGGTAACCCTTACTGGAGTTTTACTCTTTTGAGTAACATTTAGCCCTTTCACGGAAGGAATTCTCATTGTTCCAGCCCTCCCGGGCCAGTTTTTTTGTTCTTTGAGGTTAGTTCGCACCACAGAAAACCACGCGTCACAATCTCCTTGCTCCGTCACTTTGGGGCTACTGAACTCTGTTTTCCTGCGATATTGTGGGATCTGTAGTGCTACTAAAAATGGCTGACAACATTCGGGCAGGCTAGCTGGCAAGAAAAAAACTAAAACCCATAGGGGCGAGTATGCCATTCTGGTGGGCATCAACCCTAAATTCGTGGCCCTTTTGCGAGTTTAGGGTTGATGCCATCCAGAATGCCATGCCAGGCCCATAAGGGTTTTATTGTTTCTGCCCTCTGCCCAAGATTAAGGAGATTGTTACACGTGGTTCGCTGTGGAGAGAACTAACCTCGAAGAACAAAAAACTGTCCCTGGGGGGTTTGATCGGCGAGAAACCCTTCCGTAATAGGGGCTAAACGTGATCCCAAAGAGTAAAACGCTAGTAAGGGTTACCGGTAATCTAAAAACCCTTCAAAATTGCCCCCAGACTGTACTGCACACCTCGCGTGTTCTGTAGCGCCTCGAAACAGCGACTCCGCAAAAGCAGTGGATAGCTCAGGTGAGGTAAGCGAAAACCTCTAGCTTCGCGAACGGTGCATCTTTGCTCGCCCGCTCTTTCATTTGATGGGAAATCCAGATGGAGAATTCTCTCTTTCGTGACGGGATTTCAGGTAGATTTTTAGCCTGCCCGAGAACATGGGACGAGATTCTTTCTCCTGCGACCCGGTTTTCCACTCTGAATTTCGTGCAAAAGGCGTAACCTCTCTCCCACTCACTCCCAGTCTCTTTCTCGCCCCACAACAATCCTTCAGAGTTTGAATGGCCAAGAATCCGTCTCAGATTCGCGTCGCGTCTCCGAAATTCCATTTCCATCCCAGACAGCCACCTATCGCCACGCCACAAATTGCACGAGGCAGCAACCATTCACAGATACAGAAATACGGCGTGTACATTTATCCCTCACACTACCCAATCGTTTTAGATCGTGTTTTTAACCTTTGAGTCGCATCGCACCTTACCCAACCGCAATGAAACGTACGCGTGGGGCAAGCCCTAAGCCCTAAACTCGAGTTACAAGCTTCCGACTCGCTTCTCTTCGCTCATCCCCCATTTTGCCCGCTGGCGAGCGAAAATCAAGGTAGAAAGAATTCGTCAAAGGTGATAGTTCCACCCTACCACCTCCCTGCCCTGCCCCAATGACGACTCTGCGAGATCCCCAACACAGTAGGGGCTGCCCCACACATCACCTCTCTACCTCCCCAGTACAGTTTGCAGCGCATGTGGAAAGAACTATCCAATCATGAAACGCTTCACTCCTTGACACCTGCAGGCGTGGCGATCCACCATTGAACCGCAGTGTCCACGAAATCTGCAGGAAAATCGTTGACCCGAGACCCTGGAGGCCGCACGAATGAGATCGTGATTCCACCAATCCAGCTCGTCGTTCTGGTTGCCGACACGTGGGTGGGCGGTTCCCGCTCAAGCAAACAACGCCCTTCGCGTTGGTTATTGACTGTTACATCTACACCGTGTGAAAAACACATTAGAACGAAGGATTCTATGACCACCCACCAACATCAACTAGCACATCTTGAATGCTAGTAGTTTTGCATCACCATAATTGAGTTTAGAAGCTAAATTAGACCAAACCACTCTTTTAAAGCCATAGGCTATAATAGTGACCCCTCTTTCTAGTTGGGCTTAAAGCGAAAGTATACAATAACTTCAAGGTCCAATGGGTTTTGAAACTTGAAGGGGGTTCACGAAAATGGCGAGGGTCGCAACCTCATGAGAAACCTCGCACGCCCAACGCGAAATGAGGGGCTCTCGCAAACAGTCAAATACCCCCACGAACACTGGCAGGTCGCAGGGGGTTGGGGGTTGGCGACACACCGACCCCATCCCGCCTACAATGCGCATTCGCAAGAACCGCATACGCGACAAAGGGGAATACGTAGGTGGGAGATGTTGTGACAAAATAGTACTGAAGCATTTCTGTAAGTAGTTCCGATAGATATTGTCGAGTTACACTACAGTTAGCATCCGTAGAATGACGTCAGCAAATGACGCTCGTCTGGATGATTACATCAGCAAGCCGGTCCAGTCACGCGAACAGTCGCGCTCTTTTCAGTAGCGGTTAGAGCGCATATCGCAAATAGTTTTGAACAGGTACATTACCGAATAAGTACTTCTAGCAAATAAAAAAGTACCTTGTACAACTTCAGTTGTTAACTTGTTCTTCAGTAAATTCTCGTCAACACTTTACAAGTTCTAAGACTTCCGCTGTCTTACTAGTCTACCATCCCGCTAGAAGTACTTATCTGGTTCCCCATCATCTGGTTCCTCAACGAGTATTACAAATCCTACAGTCTTCACAGGGCAAGCAGGTGACTCTGCAGCTGGAAACTTTCCACTTGCCTATTCTTCAATTGGGATGCCTCAACAGCAGCAATTTTTGCATACTGTGCATCCACCAGGGACTTCGTCCTCTGTACATGCAACATCATAGCAACAAGCATCAGCATCAATATCAGCGGCCTTTAATGGCATGAGTATCGATGGCTCCAGCTATGCAAGAGCTGCAGCCGCTCCAAGCTCCAGTTCTTCATTCGCGTTTTCACCTGTTCGACATCAGCAGTTCCAATTTCTGCAATAGCAGCAACAAGCGCAACAACAGCTTCAGCAACAGCACCCAAATCAACAGCATCAACAGCAACAGCAGTTTCCGGAGCAGCAGATCTATTTTACTGGACCTGTTTTTCAGGCACCAAACCTTTTCGGCAATACGCAGATCAAGACAACTATACCTTTTAATGGCGTTGACTTCTATGCTTGGAGTTTCGAGTTCGAGCTCCTCACGAAATCCGCTGGATTATGGCTGTTCTTCAGTGGCGATTACTCGTATCCTGTTACGGGAATACCGATAGAACAACAGAGTTTTCTTCATGCTTCACTCAGCGCTTACACCGTCCTTATCCGCAATCTGTCGCTGAAAGAGCAGCTTGGTATACGCTCTCTTCACACCAGTTTGACTCCAGCAGAATCTGCGTGGAAGCATTTGAAGGGATTGTATATGGCACAGGATACAATTTCCGTGAGTAAAATTCTCTCACAACTGACAACAGTGCAGATGCACGGCAACGAGAACGTTTCGGATTATATCAACAGGGCTCGAACACTTCGTGACCAATTGGAGAAATGCGGCGGATACTTCCCAAAAGACATGTTTGTAACAGTTCTTCTTACCGGCCTTGGAGCAGAATGGTGGCAATGTCGATCTCTTCTTTGCCTTCAACCAAATATTTCGGAAGCAGAAATTTGCTCAATCCTTCAAACAGAGCAGCATGATCTTGACCTGCAGCCAACACGTAACAAAAAGAGAGCAGTTAACATCAGTTTCTATTCAACGCCTACATACGTGTCAACAAGTTCTTCTGTCACTACTGCAAAAAGGATGGACACAGCATCAAATATTGCAACAAACTTCAAGCTGAGAGGAAAAGAGGAGTGCAGCAGCAGTCGCAGCAGTTCAAGCAACCTGTGAAGCAGAATCCACCACCAACTACTCCTGCAGCATCAGGAAAACATGTTTTTAGTTGTATTACAACACTTCATGCAAAAGATTCAGATTTCAGTATGGGGTCTCCGTTCTTCAATTTGAATCGCAAGGGACTTCTGGATCTTCTGACAGAGTGTTATCTCTTGGACCTTGGCAACATCCCGAAGAAACTGATTTTCAGAAGGTTGAAATAGACTTTTGTGCAACTGCAGTTCCAACAGGATCTCGTACTGCCGCAGCAGTTATAACGGCTCTTGATTCCTGGCCAACAAACATAGCCGAAGACGATACATCAGCATGGCGGAATTATTATGACACTTTACAACAAGTTGAAAACAAATCTGCAGTACTTTGGGGACCCAGCAGCAGCAGTGAAGCAGAGGAAGCAGGGCAGCAGAGTAGCAGTGAAGCAGACACAGGGGCTCTCGTCGGTCAACCTGCAGCAGATTCAACAGAACAGAAATTGAGGAAGGAGAATAAGTTCTTCAACCCAATGAAGTTATCAATGTGGAAATTACCACCACTAAGTTACCTCTTATCCGCTTCGTTCCTGGTCAACTCGACGAATCACCCGCGTTTTCTCCTTTTACCGTTTCTTCATTTTATACTAACGTCGATTTTTATCTGCGATCAGTAGGACACAAAGCAACAGAGGATATTTGGCATCAAAGGTTAGTCATCCTTCCCCGGGAATACTTAATCATACTATATGAGCTTCAGTTCTTGACAAGAACAGTTTACTCTTACCGGATGGAACTAAGATGAAACCATCTTCAAGACCAGCAGTCTGCATGACGTGCACCACTGCTAATCTTCCTCACGAACCCTTTCCAC